TTAAATTATAGAATATTATAGAAAATATGTAAAGAATACTAGTACCAAATTTTTATATATAGTTATAATAGTAATTATTGTAATAAAAATTTCGTAAGTTATAACTATAAATTCTGTATTATAGAAAATAGTAAAATTGGACTTAAAATCGTATTCTTAATAAGTAGCTTAATACTTAACTATTAATTATATAAAAAAAATATAGTGACTACATATAATATAGTACTCATTCTAAAAATTTCAGCTACAAATAGTGTCTCCTTAAATTAATATTAAATGTGTTGTGTGTGGGAAAACTTTCTGTTCACTAAATCAGTGCTGATCATCAAAATTCTAACATTCCAACACTAATATCTCAGCTTCAACTCATTGTTTTTTGCTCAAATTTCGTATTTAAGTTATATCTACTGTAGGCTACCTGTATGTAAAATTTCAAGAAATTTTACTAAGAATTGAGGGGGGTATTGTACAACTGAGCGTTAACTGGTAACTGAGCGCGAACCGGTGAAACACAGTACTGTGCACATTGTTACACTGCCGTAATTGAAGCAAACGCATGACTCTTTTTCAAAGAAAATGCAAGTACACTCCAAGGAACTGTCGTGCCATTGGTTGACTGATCGGCACCTAAGGCAGTGGCACCGATCGTAGTAGCAACTATGATCGGTTGCATCGGGCAGGTATTCTTCATAAATCGGATGTTCGAAGGTGCACAATATGAAAGGAAACTCGAATCTGCTGTCGCCAGCTTACGCGTTGGTCGCGATTTTGTTGTTAATAGCATTACATAATATAATATATTACCTCAGCTTAATGGCACATCGAATCTAATCCACTGATTCCACTCAGTATCGATTTATGCCTCAGCGGCTAAAGCCGTTCAGGTCAGTACCTCACGATCTATGTCCGCATGTCATAGAATAGCCTAAACTCTGAAAAATCTCAACATCTTTGCTTGGGCCTACATCAAACTACATCCATCCTATCTACTGTTAGCTTGTCATGACGTACTTGATTTCAATGTCTGCTAATATTTAATCTGCCCGTGGGGTAGTGCACATTGGTACTTCGCTATGTATGAATTACGGGAATAGCGTAGCTATCATGCTCTATTTAATAAATGAGATTATGTAAAAGCAACAGGGTATATCCATTAAGTACATGCGGACCAGGACATTCAGATCACAGCAGAGCTTCCCTAGATAAATAAACTGCAGAAGTAGCGAAAGTGTAGAACACTATACGAATATACTACTCAATTTGTTCAGATCGAGCCATGCCAGTCCACCGCGCTCCCAGCCTTCTGCAAGCCTCTCGCTGAACCATTGTGCCTTCTTCCTTTTCCTCTGTCCGTCTTCGCCTCGTGCCTTAGAGAATATTTCAGTCGCTTCACGCCGAACGGCTTCGATGGTGCCCTCTGGAGCTCGATTTCCGAGCCTGCGCAGTGGACGTAGCCCGTACTCTGTGCGCACTTCAAATAGCTCGTATCCAACATCATGAACGACACAAATGTTTGCAGCATTTATAGGCTGGTCTACATCAAACGGCCAGCAAATGCTATTCATACGGGATGAAACGCATGAGTGCACAAATAACGGGATCCCTAGTAAGAATGGATCTCACAGGGGAACTCCAGCACCGAGCGTCTCCATGACAGAATTTTGACCACAGTGTGATATGAACCATCCGCAAGCCTACGTCGTATCGTAAACAACATTTGGTGTTTCTGCCTTGACTTTGTACCATACCTTGTGGTGCAATATCGTTTGCTGAGGAAGCCATGGTGCTGTCAATCCCAGTCCCGAAATCTGGATCCTTGTGGAAACTTCTTCCGGAATCCTCGCCATAGGAGATGCGTAACTGAAAAGCTAGTAAAGCGACTCGTTAATAAGGACAGGATCATGTGTTAAGAAAAATGAAGGTCACTGAACGAATGGGGTTTCCTGTTCGATGAGAACATCTATAATGGCCCATATTTTCTCGGGTTCGGCTGGCCACCATACCGTGCCAAACGATATCTACGATTCAGAAGCACGTCAGTTTCAGATATAACGAGCAAAGAGAATGGCGGCGAGTTACATATACAACAGAGTTCAGACCATATTTAATTAGGGCACTGTCGAGAAAAGTTTCCATGTCACGAGTGATTGGAGACTTGGATTGTTCATTTTCGATCTCCGTCGAAGTTGTAGGAGGAGAGAGAGGACCAACGGCCAAGACGGGCCGTGTGCCAAACCATTGTTGAGCTTTATTGATCGCTTCTCCTTCAAAGATACGACTAGTATTGTTAATTACACCGTCGGACCCACAAAGGAATCTTGATCGTACTTGTTATCTTTCGTTCATTACAATGGTGAAATAACGTACCTATGTGCGTATTGGAACATGAGGGGCACATTGACTGATTTTCCAGGTAGGGCCGTCTGTTGAAGTACTTCAGAATTCGTGGCTGTTGATATGTACAAGAGAACATACGGTCTGCGGAACAAATTCATAATCGTACATAGGCGGTATACCAGGCAGCTCAATAAGCTGGTCTTTTAATCTACGATATATCTTATTTAAAGGCAGATTCAGAGTTCATTTGGGACGGAATCTGTCGCGGACTCACGGCCATGATCTCTTTCTCTCGGCTTTCTTGGTCGTCTGCACGAATTTTACTGAATTTCTTCGCTAGGTCCCCATTTCCTCCCATTTCCTCGGGTCCGAACATAAATAGAAGTGCTGAGACAGCACCAACTTGCCAGGCGAATATTGGTACTTTTGGTCCACTGATGGACCGGATCCCGCACAGAGCATCATAACAGAAGAACTAATTGAGCGTGTTGCAATATTTGTTTAACTTCCTTCAAATGGCGTACAGAGGAATGACGTACATCAATGATTACGAGCTGAGGCGCTCGCACAGCATGGACAAAGTCATTTCCAGAAGAAGTCTGCACTGGCCGACCTTCGAATAGTGCCCTGTATGCATCAATAAATGCGGATACGTAAGGTTCGAACTTGAAAGGGGCCGGGAGAGCTGGTAGCGCGACAATTCTTAGGATTCCGTCATTCCAGATGTACGGAAATATAAAAATGAATCGAAATACCTTATGAGCTCTCGCATATTCTTGTCGTTCTCCGTGATGAACTGCCGCGTGAACTCGTCGAGGACTTTGTCGAGAATTGATACTTCTGTGAAGAATGTCGCAGCTACGCTATGATGGCGAACGATTCTGGCCACCAACGCACACAACGGTTTGATATGGCCTATAAATACTCTCAACTGATACTCGAGCAAGGAAAGGCAGGGCACTCACTCCAAAACGGCAACGCAAATGCGACAACATGTCCACAAGCAGGCTGCTCAGCGTTAGCCATGAAAGCGGATGGGGCAGAGACAAAGAGTTCTGGATAAAAGACAGCTCCTCGCTGAGCGCCGTGAGAGTCTGATATCGACTGGTCCTATTATTGACCCGGGATCTCTATCGTATCTTTTATTATTCTCGATTGGCGAGTTTTGAAGCACGCGGCATCATAAGAATGCACTTTGTTCTATTCAACGATCAGATATCATCCGGTGATCTAAGCCATATAACCTACATGCACAGTGTATAAAGCTGGCTATTCCAGGCGCTGCTAGCGTTGTGAAAAATGCCTTGCAATCGGTAGCTTATACCCTTCTGTGTAGAATAGGGTGCCACTCGGCAGCCGGTAGTGTGAGCATCCGTACCTAGACATTCCACGGTGGAGAGAATTGTAGAAAAGAGACCGAATGGAAACATGCCTTATAGTCAAGATTGTTTCCTCTACCACCATTGAGAAGGAAGTGACTCGTGAGTGAAGCTCTCACATTTTGCATCACCCAATCCACCATGTGCCAGAAAAGGCACCATATCCAAGTAAAGTTCAGTGACAAGATGTATACATAACTTACTTTTCTAGCAACATTGTATAGTATAGACAGGTAGGGCAGTGTGTACATTAGTCAATTGGGTATGACTTGGAGTCATTTATTGTCTGACTGAGTAGCATGCCGGCATTGATAGCCTTTTTAAAAGAAACTGCTGGGAAACCCTGGTCTGGAATGATGCACTTGTTGAACAGCACTCGTGTAGTAGAAAATGAGCCAATCTATTCATCGAGAAGTCGAAGGATATCATACAGATCTAGAGCTGTGTTTCGGATGATTTTCTAACGCTTATCACTAGACCACGTGAAGAGGATTTGCCGCACCGGCCCGGATACAGCAGACAATCCTGACCTCCTGCCGTTCATCACCATGTTGCTCATTTACTGCGGCCCAACAAACCGCCAGTGACAACGAATAGGACTCTAAACTCTCATTTAGGATGATCATGTGGATATTTATTAGAACGTACACATGGCTAGGAAGCATCGACGCCGAAATTACGCTTGAATCCGACGAAGTTATGACAGCGAAATGACTTCCTCGAATTTAAAAGGATGCCTTCGTGGTTTTTGGTTAGCTCGACGAGCTCTCATCTGCTTCGTAAAGAGACATGGTACCACACAGCGGACTGTCTTTCATCTTGGGACTGCTACCACTTCTGCTGTACACCCCGGCATCTGTCTATTCATTACCAGACCCGGGCTCAGCAGCTGCAGGGGACCTTCCGTTTCATTTGCATGCTCGAGCACAGAACAAGAATGGATCCACTCCGGTGTATAAGGATCCAACGGCAAATATCGAAGATCGTGTCAAGGACCTTTTGTCGCGAATGACGTTACAAGAGAAGGTCGCGCAAATGTGGGTCACTTTACCATGTACATCGCAACCTGCAAAACTAATCAATTATGTTTCTTGTAGAATACAAGGCGACATGAATGGTTGGATGGATTTCTCCGACCCACTGGATGATACGTTGACGTACAACGCGTCGGGTCTCGTCGAAATGATGAGCACAAAAGCCGGGAGCGTCTGGGGTGGTTATCAAACTCCATGGGATAAGTTCGTTTTCGGCGTTGAGGTTGGCCAACGGTATCTCATGGAGAATACTACGCTTGGGATCCCTGCACTCATTCAGAGCGAAGGTAAATGCTTGTATTGACCTTGATAACATAACAAAAGTACGAGCTCAACATTATAACAGGCTTACATGGTTTCACGAATAACGGAACAACGTTTCCATCGCCACTCGGCTTAGCCGCTTCATTTAATCCAGACTTGCTCTCCCAAGTTGCTTCTTCTATAGCCGACGAAGCTGAGGGCCTTGGGGTTTCTCATATTTTCGCACCTGTGCTCGACCTAAGTCGCGAGCTGAGATGGGGCCGTGTTGAAGAAAACTATGGAGAAGACCCTTTCCTGTACGTTTTTAAGGGTTTTGTTATTTTGTTTTCCTCACGTATTTTCGAGCTAGGACTGGGGAGATGGGTACTGCGTATGTTACAGGCCTTCAATCTGGACGAAGACGGAATGTCAGTGATACAGCAATTGCACGCGTGGCGGCGACATGTAAACACTTCGCGGCATTTGGAAGTCCACAGGGTGGTTTGTATGTTATTCTTACACTGCTGCTATTCTAATAGAATACTAAATCCTTCTACTAGAAACCTTGCTCCTGTGGAAGGTGGTGAACGTGCACTCCGGTCCATCTATCTCCCGCCGTTTGAGAAAGCGTGTGCAGAAGCCGGATCATTGAGTATTATGACGGCATATTCTAGCTTTGATGGTGTTCCTGTTGTCTCGGATGCTCGTCAGTTTTCTACCAGTCCATACCTTGTAAAAGTAGCTGACGCCATGTAATAGACATTTTGAAGGATATAGTTAGTGCCTACTGACATCTCGCCGGGCTTTGCCATGTTCTAATGCTCTGACTGTATAGCTTCGTGATGAATGGAATTATCCTTACTGGGTGACTTGCGACGCTGGCTCGATTGATTTGCAGATCACTGAGCATGCAACCTGCGATACTCGAGAGTGCGCTGCACGGGAGGCGCTTGTAAATGGTGTTCAGGGCGAGATGGGTGGCGGATCGTACACTTATCTCACTCTCCCTGGTGAGTGTCTGTGTTTTAAAGTTTCAAAATGCTTCGCGTTAATACATCCCCTATTTCTATAAAGATCAGGTAGCAGCAGGAACGGTCAAGGAGTCAGACATCGATGCTGTCGTTGTGACGATGCTGCGTACTAAGTTTGCTCTTGGACTTTTTGAAAGTATGGGTATTCGCGGCTTCTTGCGCGATGATAGCTCATAATTGCCTTTACAGATCCCTACCCATACGCAGATTATAATAGAACACTACGGACGCAAGGAACTCGTGAGATCCTTCATCAAATGGAGCAAGAAGCAATAGTCTTGCTCGAGAACCACGATAACACCCTTCCTCTCAGTACGAACGGAGTTTCGAAGGTCGCAGTAATCGGGCCACAAGGAAATCGTGTGTCGGTAAGTCATTCCGTAAGTGGATCTATCAACTCAAAGGCTCATTTTGATTGCCACAGTTCGGTGACTACGTCTTCTTCAACGCGTCCAATAATGGCATTTCTCCTCTCGATGGTATCAAGTCGTTCCTTGCAAACAAATCTTCATCAATCTCAGTCTCCTTTGCACAAGGCTGCGAGCTATGGTCATCCGACACTTCTGGGATTCCTGCTGCAGTTGACACAGCAACTGACGCAGATGCAGCAATTATATTCGTTGGAACGTGGAGTCTCGACCAGACGCTACTGTGGACACCTGGAACGAATGCTACTACCGGTGAGCATGTCGATTTGAGTTACCTCGGGCTCGTCGGCGCACAACGTGAGTTGGTGCAAAGTGTTGTCGGTGCAATGGAACAGCGTGGGAAAAAGAGTATCGTGGTGTTTGTGAGTGGCAAACCACTCACAGAGGATTGGATACAGGCACATGCTGGTGCCGTTGTACAGCAGTTCTATCCCGGAGAACTCGTGAGTTGGCTTTCTCGATTGCTTTGCCCGAAATACTGCTGACAAATTTTGAATAGGGTGGCATAGCAATTGCGGAAGTGCTCTTCGGAGAATTTAACCCATCTGGTACAAGATCATCCCTATCCCTATATCAGTGTAGTTCCGTTCTGACGTGAATGTTATAGGTAAACTCCCTGTCTCTTTCCCTCGTGCAACAGGAACGACACCTTCGTTCTACAACTATCTTAAGGGTGGCCGTCCAATTGATCCTGGCAACATCTCCGACGACGGGACTCTTCACTTCGGGCACCAAGTAAGTTCTCCCGCGCCTGATCCTCTGAACCTATTTCGAAGATGTTTTCTAGTACGTTTTGAGCTCTCCCGTCCCTCTTTGGAGCTTTGGCCATGGACTTAGCTACACGAACTTTACATAGTGCGTGACAATCTCTAATTGACGTAGCTGACGTTTACCTACTTCACCAACAGCTCCAACCTCCGCCTTTCATCATCTACGATAGGAACTTCAGATGATTTCAACGTAACCGTCAATGTACGAAACTCAGGAGCGGTGGATGGGAAGGAAGTTGTACAGGTCTATCTAACGGATGTTGTTTCGTCTGTCGTCACACCGAATCAATTCCTTGCTGGTTTCCAGAAGGTCGACTTGCCGTACGTTTTCTGTATTATTCGTGGACATCCCTTGTCACATTCTTACTTCGTAAATGTGGTTCAGTGCAGGAAGCGAAAAGGAGGTTACCATTACAATCAAGTCGGAGCAGCTAGCTGTCTGGACTCGCGATTCTAAGTTCTCTGTCGAACCTGGGACTTTCAACATCAGAGTCGGGACAAGCGATACTTCATACGGGAATGTGACTCTGACTGTCCAATGACGGTGAAAGGGAAGCTTCATCCCGGGAATCAGTAATGTAGCATTCGCTGCAGTCAGACTTCCTTTCTCCTCAGCAATTGTATGGTTAGTAAACTGTTGCATCCATTCATTATTCGGCTCAATATAGGCACTCGTCAATTCGAAACCCGCGATTGTCCCCATTATCCCCTGTTAACTACGTTGTTTGCTTCTACACAATCTACGCCCACGTGAGAACGTCGTTAAGCTGCAAAGTGTCCTTTGCTGGTTATAGACATTCTTGAGCAAACTTTGACGCGGCCAACTGTTATACGTCGAGGGCTACTGTAATGCTCGTTACTGCCTGGGTTGATGCCCACGCGCTATGCCTGGAGAATCTCTCTCCAAGTCAAATGGGCAGCTTGGTTCTGGTCCTTCGACTGTCTTGCCAACTGAGATCTTAGCGGAGGTATTTGAATGTTGCTTGCCGAGTAGTTTGGAACGTTTGGAGACACCCCTCCAACGGCTGGCCCCACTAGTTCTCACATGGGTCTGCAAAGCTTGGCGGGATTTATGTCTTTCGATCCCAACTCTTTGGACAGACCTAGCAGTAGGACATAGAGGGTCCGATCCTGTGGGAGATATTCGCATTTTGAAAATTTGGCTCAGCCGGTCCAGGTATCTTTCAATTTCTTTAAAGCTGAACTATGAAATCGACGACGCACTGCGTCCAGTTCTCTTCAATCAAGACAAGAACGAGAGATATGTGAATGGAATGTACCAGCTCCTCGGACTCGCGATTCGCTGCATTGAACGTTGGTCTACCTTTGAAATACATACACTTGACATATCTGTGCTAGACCAAGTATTTCTGGCCATTGTGACTCGTGGATCTCCTTGGCTCGTGAATCTCTCTTTCTCGACAAAATACCTCGGCTTCTTCGGTGACGTGCACGTGCTTGACTTCTCGAAGTGTCCTTCGCTCAAGTCAATCTGTCTTCGAAGTCCAATGATCTCCCCGGTAGCCCAATCAGCAACGATGAAGAACATGACACGCCTCGAACTTCGGTTCTGTTCATCCGTTGACGATTGCCTGCGGTGGATCGATATCTGCCCGGCACTTGAGCAGCTGATCGTCCGTCTCTTCTGTAGCAACCCTGAACTCCTTGGACGAGAAATCGAGTGGCTTCCTGAACAGAGGCCTCGCTGCATCCCACGCCTCAAAGAACTGGAAGTGCACAATTTCTCTATTGAAGCGGACGCTGGTCCGTTATTGGATGTGCTTGATGTCCCTGCGTTGACCAGTCTCAAGGTCAACATGTATGACATGATCGATGCTCCAGGGCACTGGACGCATGTTACAGATCTTGTCCGCCGTTCGAGACCTCCATTGGAGACACTGGAGCTCCAGGGTACTCCGATGTCAATCGAAGACATCATAAGATGTCTCGACATACTTCCTAGCATAAAGCAGCTCAGTATTGGCACCCGTCGACCTACAGATGAGCTCATAAAAGCATTATCTGTAGATGCTCAACAAGAAGAAACTCCTCATGAGTTATCTACCGTAGCCTGTCTCTGCCCCTCACTCAAGGTCCTCGATTTGGTGAACACAACCTGGTCACTAGATCTTCTCGCGAATTCTGTATTCTCGCGATGTAATGGAAAGAGTACTGTGACATTTCTGGAGGAGCTACGCCTTTCTTCCGAGAACAGCCGTAATGTAATGGAACATCCAGCTTTCGTGCAAAGTCGGGCGAGAGGACTAAAAATTGTCGAACGCGAGACGAATCTCTTAATTTCGGCATTCACTTCACCTGATGTCGTGTTTGTCTAGATTTCCTTTGTATTTGTGCACACGAAAAAAAAAATAAGCTGTAGGCAGCCTGTATATATTTGCGTCACGAACTTCAAGCCCATTTACATTAGACTACATTATAGCCGAATGGAGAATGTACTGTCATTGCTGACGAATCATTGATCTTCAGAGGTATCACTATTAGTCAAAGGCCAAACATCGGAGTGTGTCCTACACCGTTTAAGCACCATGACTAACGCTGAAGCTTGCCTATTCCCCTCTTCGGCTAATCAGTTTTCCAGAACCTCATGGCAACTGAATGTACCAAGTCTTGAAGACAATACACATGATCAGTGATTGTCAGTGCTCATTTTAGAAATGAATTGGAGGCTGCATTGGGTCTTGCCTAGGTCCTCACCTTGGCTGTTTGGTACCGGGACGCTTTTTTTGCTTCCATTTCCATGGGCTTTTTACCACGTTACTGGTCTGCGGCTTGGACCGTGCACACTGCCATAGTAGATACTTGCTGACCCCTTGTCTGATCTCCCATCTCTCCGAAAACCGTTATAGGCGGAAAGGAGCGTCATAAACGATAACGAGACAGAAACAAGCTCAAGCGACATTGACATGGAGAAACGTGTCCATGAAACTGATTCCGTGTCTCTACCGTCGCACACTAATTCTGTAGAAAATGCAATTGATCCGGAGGCCCAGCGTCGCCTTGTTCACAAACTTGACTTGATTCTACTCCCACTTTTCACTGTCGTTTGTACGGATCCATTATTTTATGTTTGATTATGTCATTGCCTGACCAACTCCCTATGATCGTGAGTAGATGCAACAAATTTTATTGATAGGTAAGATTTTCAGTAAGGATAATTGACATGTAAAAGATACTGATTTTGGTTGATCAGGACGGCAATTGGTACGCATACCTACACAATTTAAATCACAACATCAACTCACAATGTGGTTAGGAAATGCCAAAATTGCAGGTAGTCACTGTGTCTGGAATTATTATTGATTTAAGTCTTAAAAATTTTTAGGCATTGAACATGACCTTGGGATGGTGGGGTTCGACTACAATATTGCACTGACAATCTTCTACATATTTGTAAACCCGTTTCCTTTATTCTGTATTATTCAATACGGCTGACATATTTACGTTAGTACATCTCTGCCGAAATACCGTCCAATCTTGCTTTGAAGCATTTTGGCTCTATGTGGCTGGCTCTGATGGTGACGGGATTTGGTATTGTCTCTATTGGAACAGCATTCGTCAAGAACTATGCCGGTCTGATCATCACCCGTGTTTTCCTTGGGCTTGCTGAAGGGGGAACATTGGTAGGCTCTCATTTCAGGTTTGGAACAGCGGAGGCTGAAAGATCGTCAGAGCGGATTGACATATATAATGTCTCGGGTTTGCCGTTCCTGTAATTCACTCATGCAAATGTTTGCTTACTTTTATTATACAGTATTATAGACGAACAGAGCTTGTCCTGCGCGTTGGCATATTCTTTGGCCTTGCACCACCTTTGGCAGGAGCGTGTACGTAGACTAACCTTAATCAGAATCCTTTTTCTCTTCAAGTTGGCTCACTTATTTTGCAAGTTGGTGGTCTCCTTGCTTCTGGACTCCTTTCAATCAATGACATCGGTATGGTGAAGTCATGGCGCAAAATATTTTTGATTGAAGGTATGATTTCAGGACCCTAATATTCGATTCTTATCCTAATCAATACATCTTCAGGGATCATTACCTCTGGCTTTGGGCTCTTGTGTTTCTTAATTATACCAACAGATCCACAAAGGTCGCGTATGCTGAGTGAGAGCGAGAGAGAGCTTGCGCTTGCTCGTATAGCGGCTGATCAAGCTGTTTCGACCCACGGAAAAAAGGAACGCACGACTCTCAGGCTAGTCGGGAGGGCGTTCAATATTAACGTGAGATCCCGCATAGAAATCTTTGACTTTTATTAATTCTCTGTTTTCGGAAGACCTGCGTCTTAGCCTTTTGTTATGTCTTGGTTAATATCTCGTTCCAAGGTCTTAGTCTTTTTATGCCGACCGTTGTCGCTACATGTACGTCTCACGCTTTGTTTTATATAACCTTTTCTAATCGTGCTGTGAAGTGGGCCACTTCAGTAAGTCGGTAATCCCTATATATCTAATCTCTTATTGATATTTGCAAAGCTACTGTGAAATCTCAGCTTCGAACAGTGCCTCCTTATGTTGCTGGTGCTGTTTGGGCTCTCATAGGTGCCTATCATGGCTTTAGAATAAAGCAACGCGCCACACCAATTATAATTTCCGTTCTACTCATGGTCATTGGGTATGCGATTTTTGTCGGGACAGAGAACTCGCACGCTCGGTAATATTTCTCTATCTTTATATATTCAGTTAGTTAGTTGATGATTTTGTGGATTTAGGTACGCTGCTTGCTTTCTAGCAGTTGCAGGAGGATCACCTAGCGGTCCGATGATTCTTTCGTGGGGCACCGATAACGCTGCACCAGATACTGTGCGTGCAGTCACTACAGCTATCATTCCAGGTGTCGGTGCACTTGGTTCTGTTATCGCGTGAGCAGAATCTGCTCGAATGCATTAGCTTTATTTCTCAACATTGATCGAAACTCTACTTACATTAGTGTGTGGACGTATCTCCCATCAGATGCTCCGAACTACCATCATGGGAACTCGCTCAACCTCTCAACGAGCTCCCTTTGTGTGGTGCTCGTCGCGTTACTCGCAATGTACATACGCTTTGAGAACGCTAAGCGTGCACGCGGTGAAAGGGATTATCGGCTAGAGGGGAAGAGTACTGAAGAAATTGAGCAGCTTGGATATTTGCATCCAAGATTCCGATATCAAATGTAGCAGTTGAATCGATACCATAATGTTTATGCCTAATGTCTGTTATGAATTCACAGAATTTAACGGCACTGTTTATTTATTTCAATCTCTATTATTATTAAGTGAACATACACCATCTAGTACTGCAATCCAAGAGGGTAGAGCAATCTCAAAACGTCTATTCTCTCAACTGCTACACACAGTCATATCCCTGCTTGGATTAAGTGCGTCAAAGTACCATCTGCTGGCCTCAGGCTTCATCTGTCGACTGGCGGTCACCTTTGTTTGCCTTGTTCAACTGGAACATGTAAATTGTGCGAGCATCCTTTACACGGGAAATATCTCTTGCTTTATCCTTTCTACTATGGTTTTCACATTCATGATCCTTTGCCTCCTGCATAAGGTTCAAAAGAAGGTCGTATGCTGCTAATGAGTCATCATCTCCTGTACCTTGGGGTAGAGGTCTGTCACTGATCGGGCAACCGCACTTCCATTTCACGTTTGTCTGACTTGGTGATCCTTTATCTGCTATAGTTTATTAAATGTGTATTTTGAAAGTTCAGAGACAAGACAGGTGTAGAATATGTATCAACAAACCAATAATGAACACAGGCTTTCCTCCTTCTCCTGTTCCTGCCTGTCTTCGAATTCCATAGTTTTCTAGCTCTGAATTAGCCTCTGTATAAGATCATGTAAGCCAGTAACAAATTGTATATAAGTCAGATAGTCTAGAAAATCAGGAGAACTGAACTAAAACATTTACCTGAGGTAAGTCTTGTTGAGAGTGAGAATAACTTAGACTTTCTGCTACTAGTCTTTGACATTTTCTGTATTGTAGAGTGGAAAGGGTATAAGGACTAAAATGCTTTTTTGTTTCAGACTAGAGACATAAGTTGTACTTATATACTTATAACACTTATGCTTATTGCTCAATCAACTAGATCAGCAATGTACTATAATAGCTATAGCTTTTGATGTGAACACATCATTTGATCAGTAATATGTAGACATTTATAGTATGTCCTTATTGTTTTTTTACTCAATAAGTAATTTGATAGAACATACTACTAGTAATGGAAATAATTATTTACAGTACAGAATTATACTCAGTAAGCTGTGTGATTTATGTCATTTTATAGAGTTAATATCTTTCTTATAAGAATTCTTTGATTTCAGTATGATTCTGTTGATCATCTATTAAAACAACTTTAGGAATTACTTGATTTGAAGAAATATGATGATTATTTCCTCCTTCTTTGTTCGAATTCTCTGCTCTACCTTTTACATGAATTCTGATGTCATATTCAATATCTTCAATACTATATTTTCTGCTTTGTTTTTCATGGTTTTTACATACATGCTTTTGTGCATTTTTCAGGATATGTTTCAGCAACTTGAGCCGGGCTTCAGTGTAATCATCTCCTGTGCCTTTTTCCGGTAATGGTCTATCTGTAAACGAGCATTTGCACTTCCATTGCATCTGTAACAAACTTGCCCTGTCCTGTTCTCCATTCACATTTCCTGCATTGTCCTTGTTTCCTAAGCCTTGCTTATTTTCAGCTTTTCGTCGTGCCTTTTCAGTGTCCTCCCCTAAAAATTGTTAAACACACGCGTTGTTAGCCAGGTGACTAAATAAATAAGACGAATAATTAACAAACCGATACGAGCAATATACTTTTTCGTTTTTCTGCTTTCATCATGCCGTAGGAGAATTCCAAAGTGTTCAAGTTCTTTCCCAGCTTCTAATTTTGATCGTACAAACCATATATTTAGCATATGTATGTCAATCAACACAGAACGAAATTTGACCAAATGATTCACCTTTTTCTAGTCTATTATATAGAGGGTTGTCGTTCTTCCTTTTTACTACCTTTTCTTTTTCACCTTTTTCAGCAGCTTTCAATTTTTCCTGCTTTCCAGCCTTGACAGCCTGTCTAGGAGGTGCAAGATGTTTCGGGGGTGGGGATTGTAGCCTTTTAGGTGGAGTAGGAGCTGGGTGTGCCATTCCCATAACAACGGACATAAAGCAGTATATGCAGGGGGTGTTTCTTATGCACACACAAATCGCCCCCCCTTTGCTCAATCAAGTTCATGAAAAACTATCCCGGATTATTCCGGATTACAGTGATCGTTGATGGCTACTTTGCTAGAACTGATTATTCAAGAATAACAGTATTTGTATTTTGTTGTTTGCTTTTGTAAGTTCTTGGCCCTCTAAAAACATACACCTAATAATGCATCCTGCGGAACAGTTTGCAAGTGCACAAGAACGTCTATTCTGGTAAGAGCACTGTGCTGCTGGCAGGATAAGAACGTAATCGATCTTGTCCGAGGATGGCAAGAACCCATGACTATGCTGGTAGTGCTAGCATTTTATCTTACACAACACAAAAAGTCAGTATTAACAGCCATATTCCGGCGCATAGTGCAATTTATCCTGTTTTTCGAGTCCATTCAAACTACTTAATCTGTCAATGCATTATTTGTCATCTTGTGGCATACATAATGCTTTCATCACAGATTTGTACATACACAAATACGGAATACCTACAAAACAATAATAACAGAGCCGCGCAAAGTCCACGCTCATGGCAACCGTCTCGTCATAGACGGCGAATTAATAGAACACATGACTATCCATACGATACTAAGTACGGTATTGACGCCGTGAATGCAAGGTTGGTCCCTGCCGCCCATCCTTGCCGTATTTCTTCTCAAGTTCTCTGGTTGCGCTGTTTGGGTGATGGACGGTTCACACCGTCTGTCATTTGCTGTCGTCGCCGATCTGTAGGACTTTACTTAGAGTACGGAGAAGGGAGAAGAGCGAGAAGAGTGAGAGTGAGAGTCCAGACGAATAATGACACACACGGAACGTAGCTACCGGCGGCCGAACGAAACGGAAGGACGACTAGGCAAGAAGTGGCAAAGATGGGCGACAGGGTTGGGGTAAGAGTAACACGAGTTGGCTCTATACAGGTCTACGACAAGGACCCCGCATGCAGGGATGCATGCAGATGAGTTGAGTGAAGTGTCATAACATTCTGATCAGCGCTGATCGTCGTCTCGGCTCCCGGCACCATTTCATATTTCCCTTCATTCATTTTTAAAATACAATTCCACAAGGCACAGCGCAGAATCTTATTCTTGGACGCGCACCATGAGGTGGCGCTAGCTCCCCCCTCCCCCACCGACCATGAGGTTGTATACTTAAGCAAGTAATGAAAGTCCCGAATTTTCGATGAGAAGGTTCTAGAATTCCCAGACGATCCCTTGCATCCGTCGATTCTGCCCTGCCCTCCCTTGACATTGACGGAGACCTAGACGCACATAGAGACGCCTCAAAAAATAAATTCCTCTGTCGCGGATAATGCACTTTGTACCTATGCTAAATAGCAATGGATTAAATAAAGTGAAACGTAAGGTGAGGAGCCAGAGCGAATCAGGGGTGCAATTCGCCATTCTTTTTGCATATCAGGCACGATTTTGGCACGAAGTGGATCAGACGGAAATTACGAGGCGGATAGACTTCGAGTATGTGTCGAGGGTCTTTGACTTTCACTTGCATGAGGCTGAGCGCTAGAGATCGAGAGGACCAAGGTTCTGGCGTACATGACGACTACACCACAGTGTAGTATGACGCTAGGAGAAGGGATATTAATATTAATACACTGAGAACTTAAGACAGGTAACCATACTGATGAACACTGGGGTTCCGGTACGCAGAGTATCTGTCCGATTAGACTACAACGTCAGTACAAACAAGACCACTCACACGTACCACGTCTCATCACATTAGAATCGCACCTGACCCTGGAGATTTCAGATGCACAACTGCAACAAGAGGGAAGAGAACCTAAAACGCCGTGATGGGCGGACAGAAGAACAGCCACGATGCAGATGTTCTTCGATAATACGGCACGCACTAGGAGTTAGAAGCGTGGTAGTGTGGAGAGATGTTGAGGAGTTACACAGCCTACACTGTAGTAGCACTAGAGTGAGAAACCGAGTGGGGTTAGCTAGGGACGCGTCGATTGAAAATCATCCGAGTGTTTGTAGATAACGATGGCGGTGTTAGATAAGACGCTTCTTTCATTCGGCTACTTCAGACAGACTTTGGATGTCAAGATTACAAGGACTGAAAGCACTACAATGAATATTCGGTCTCTAAGACAAGTATTAGACCATGATTGTCTCAGAGGATCACAGCACAATTACCTTGGAAAGCAAAAACGCACAAGACCCAATAGATAAGCTGAATCATAGACCACGAATCATATGACCATACACGCTACACACCTTCCAGAAATCTTTCGCGCACGTTCAAACATTCCATTGCAACAACGCAACAGCGCCGATATGCCGAGGGTACAGTACATAGGACTGATACCGCTGATAGTAGATACCACGGCCTTATGCTTCTCGATCCTCATCCGCGAAGGGTTACTGTATGCTCACTATCTCCCGGCAGTTGCATGGAAGCATCGGGAAGTTAGAACCCCTCTAAGCACTTTGTGGGGTCTATAGCCTCCGAAAGAGAATCCGAGGGATGGCTCGCTATTCAAAGGTTAGACGCGTAAGTTTGCAACGTATCCAGTAATCAGTTGTACCTAATGCGGAATACGGATTACCTTCTATGTGTTGATGATTGTTGAGCATCCGGGTTGGTACGGAAATCTGAACAAGACAAAATGACTTGGATTCACTTTCTACAAAGACTCTTGTGTGTGATAGGTACAATAAGTAATTTCTCTCAGACGGTAGTCACTTACCGCCTTCGAAGACGAATAACACTGCAATGTCCACCTCGTACAAGCAGATTCGTGCCCACAAAGCACTGCCCCACGGAAAAGTGAAAAAAACTTACATCTCCAGGATCTTAGCGTAAACTTAAGGAAAAACCGGAATCTCATCTGCAAATTGACGTTTGTCACAGATACTGACTCTGGAAAAACTAACACGCGACCACATATTAGTCACTTCAATCCAAAGTGAAGAAAGGAAACGTACTTACTTGACTTGGTGTAACGGGAGCGAAACCTGAGTTACACACATAGCATAGAGCAAACTCTGAAACGAAACGTAAGCTGGTGCACTCGCCACAAGACGTGGTGTTGACGATGATGATGATGAACGGCAATTAGAACGCGCTCAAACTTTCATCTATGTGGCTCACTCACGGAATAGGTTCGCCGCGTTGTAAGAGATGTGAATCATAAAGAGGCGGAAGGAAACGGGAAATAGGAAACACACTCGCCACATATTGCAAACATTGTTAATATAGTTATTGTAATTATAGTCAGGCGCAGTACTAGTACTGGTGTTGGTCTGGTGCTGTTATTGGCATTAGCACTCTAGGATCTGGTCTTTGCTCCCTTTCTTATTATTTGATTCAAGTGCAAAAGAGTGTTCTTTAATAGGTTGTACGGGAGGCATAGTTGCAAGGCGAGACAGGACGAATATGAATGTGAAATTGTGAATATGCAGAGTAGAGGAGCACCGGAGTCGAATACACAGCGTTTGTCGGCGCGCAGCTCAGACGAGTCAAGACTTTTACTTGGCACATCTATACTCGTATAGTCCGCAGTGTGTGCAAGTCGCCACAATTCCGAAGCCAAAGGTAAGAAGCGAACTCGAGTCGAATCCGAGGAGGAGTGAGGCGAGCTATGAGTGCCTAGTGTGCATTTCTTTTATTTTTCAAATTAAAGTGGCAAACACAAACGCCATGCGGCGAGGGAAAGGAAAATTATGAAGCGAGAAAGTAGGGCGTGCAAAGAGCTTTCTTTACTTGATTTGGAGAGGTTGCCGCAGAGTATGGAGGGCGTTAACAAGGGTAGTCAAAGCGGCAGTTAGTTATTTTCTACTTTCCGAGGCGCCCGTAGCCAGACATCAAAGGCGGAGAGGAGGAAAACAGCCGCACATTGCCGTGCACAGAGTCGGCGTCTAAAGGCGTTCCAGCGACCGAGACTGGAATTACATGGCATGCATGCATGCTGAAAGTTGTCCCTCGGCGCCGACGTGAGCGGAGATCTGGGCATCGGGACATGAATGTTCTTGGGGTGACATTTGAATTAACGTAGCAAGGCATTGAGAATAGGGGCTGCTGCACGCACTTGCTTGGAGTATTTGAGATTGCGACATGGCCGGATGAAATGGATATGTAACACGTGTACGGAGATGATCTGTGATCGGCGAGCCACTGGCCGGGATCCTCGCTGAATACGGAAGGAGTCCTGGTTAGTGGGTGTTTTGCGGCCGTTGAGCTAGTTGGGGGCGTGTGTTTCAACAGATGCAAGCAATAGACCTTAGACCAGCGCGTTTGGAGGGACGAGTGGCGAGTACGAGAGCGGAAGCAAAATGGGCCTTTTGTGGGTAGAGAATATACCGGAGCCGGAGCCGGATGGGAAGGAGTGCCGATGGGCTAAACCGGGTGGCGGGCCGGATGAGGATTTGCCCTGTGATCTTCGGTACGGTGACTGGGGGACACGGAGGGAGAGACTAGAACCCATTTGTGGGAACGTCGATCATGGGGATGAGTTCGTCGCTTCTGCATGAGGATGACTTCATCGCATCCCCTTCGAAGGAATATATCATCTCCCACACACCCTGTCCCCGTCTCTTCCCCTTTTGCCCCGTCTCACTTCTGCCTCTCTTGCTCTTTTTACTTTCTCTTTCTATTTCCTGATACTCTTTTTTGATTTTCTTGTCTTGTCTTGTTTCTTCTCTTCGGGGCTAGAGAAGTGACCGCAAATAACGCGAACACGACCGCCATCAAATTGCTCGTCTCTCGCGTGCCCGGGCTTCTCACGTGCGATCCAAACGCTCATCCCTACAACCAACACGTCGCCTCTCCCCCTAATCGAGCGAGCGCTGCGCAGCCAACTGACAACGCCATCGCTGTTCACCATCTTCTAAAATCAGCTGCGAATCAGCCCAGCTAGGCGACGCACGACGACGATTTCCCCACAAGTGAACTACCTACCACTTACTACTCTATCACCTACCCTCGTTCCCGTTGACAACCAACAACCGCATCTGAACCTTGGGCCTATATTAACTAATCTTCCTCCCTTTGACGCCGCTCACCAAAGCACTCCCCGCTTTCATCTGCTTTACTCTCTTCTTCTTTCCTACCAGCCTTGTACTTCCGTTTCACTCTCTCTCTTCCTGCTGGCCAGCTAGCTCAAGTTTCTTTCAGAGGCGATGATGATGCAGGCTGCGCCCGCTCTTTCGCCTCCTCTTTCGCCTCCTCTTTCGCCTTCTTCTGCGCTACCGGGGCAATTACGATCGAAGAGAGACGAATCGACTGCAAACATCAGGGTCGGACGAAGGACACCATCTAGGGAGACTGGCGGAGACGTGGACAGGCGTGAAATGGAGACTGGAAGTGGGAATAGCACTACTACTGCTGCGGATTCCGCGAGGCGTGCGCCGCCCGATGCAACGGAAGACTCAATGCCGAATTCGACTAATGCGAGTGGGTCGGCGCCGACTACAGCGCTCCCCGGAATCCGGGATCTCTTTCCTGGTGAGTTCCGTCGTTTGGGACTTTCTCCCATCTTTATCCTTTGTATCTCTGTATTCCGTTCTTTTCGCCTTTTCGCTCTCTTTCTCCTTTATTTTCCGTCATTACTGTTGAATCCAGTCGGTTGGAGCATTGGATAACTCTGGGCTCTCCCTCTCTTCACGTCTTGGCGCCAACTGGTTAAGGAGGCACAATGGCCATGACGGGGCGTCAGGCTCTCGTGGGCGCTCTGCGCGGTATTCGTCAGCAGTGCGTCATCACACGACGCCGCAGCGGACGCAATTGGCCGTAGCATCTAGAATCAAGACGGGGCTGTCCCTAGAAGGGATGCGTGATACCTGCTTCTGTGCACCGCATTGCAGATGGCAGACTGGTGCTTCTTCGACCTTAGATTAACAGCACCGCACTGCAGCACCCGGGATGCAGGTGGCAGAACATTAAAACGCGATGCACGGCTATGGGGTAGAAGATGGCCTGTTCCGCTCGGCGGGCTTGGTTACTCGGAGATGATTGATGCCTGATGCAGATCATCACCACTCCGTTCGCGAATCACTCTTGCGTGTGTTTTGCACAGAAGCACCTCCTCGGTGTTGACCTCATTAATCGGCTGCCTGTCACACGCATGACGTACCATGCGACTTCCTAGTCGTGTTCAGAACGCCTGCACTGTTCCTCATATCTCTGCCTCAGCCACTGCAGTGGGCTGTCCTACCGATTCGTACAGGGTCATCAGTCTCATATGGAACCGCTGCCGCTGTGCACAATATGGCTATCCTTCGGAGATGCACCGCATGCGCCAACCTCGAGAAGATGAATTGGCCGCATCTGTGGTGACAGATGGATGGTAGTTGACCTGCCAGCCGTCGAATCACCCAGAGATCTTCTGGGATGGTCTCCGGATGAGATATCTTTGTTAGTCGTTGACGTGTCAGCGGGATGGTTGACTGGTTGGATTTCACTCATGGCCTGTTTTGGAATATGCCCGGACCGCTATTGCCTAGCTGGCTGATCTCAATCCTGAGGTCCGCGGTTCCCAACTTCTTCGGAGGGCGATGTCCTAGGCGCGCAGCAACGTTATGCGGTCCGCCACCAAGACGGACAAACTATTATGCGTCAATGATCCTTTTTTACTTCCTTTTCTCGTTATTATTCCTTCTTGCTTTATTGCTATCCGTTTCGTATCAGTAACTAATAACCCTCATCACTTTTACAGATGAACTTTTCGAGGCACAGCGTCTCGAACCGCTTGTCGACCCCCGGAAGCCGAAGGACCCTTTCTTTCCAGGTGCAAGCTCAAGTGCTGCGCAAACAAATGCTAGAAATGAAAGGGAAAAGGACCTCAACCGAGAGGCGTTCGCGGCCTTAACTTCTCCCTTCACGCAGGCTAGAACACTCCAGCGCATGGAGCCTCGTTCGCCGTACACGATGCAGCAATCTGCGTTCACTTTCCCAAGGACTACTGCTAGTACTACACGTCAATCTGTGCCTTCCGCTTCTTCCGTTTTTGGATCATCTGCCACTACGCCTACAAATGCTCTTTCTCGCAGTAACATACCTCCGCCGATTGTCACTTCGAGTCCGAAACTCGCATCTTCAAATTCGAATAGAGCCCAGCCGACTAGACCTCGTTCTCATGCTCATACTCATAGCTCGGATGCGAGTGCCGCAGCTGCCGGTCTGTTAGGTCTTTCAATAAGCGGTGGCCCTCCTCCGAATGCAAACCCTCCACCTCCACCTTCATCGCTTCCGGCAAGTTCGTATCGTGACCAACGCGAGCGTTACCCGGATCCCGATGTTGATGACGTCGATGACAATGATGATGATTCGATGTATGTGTTCGAAATGGATGAGACGAAGGAGCGATCGAGAGGGAGAACAAGAGAGAGGGGTAAAGATGGCGATGGAATGGATGTCGATACGGAATGTGTTGAAACGGCGCCGACGAGTGTGGATTCACATGCAAGTATGGAGTCAAAGATGGATAGCCCGCCGAAAGACGCAGTTTCTTCCGAGAAGCGGGAACCGAAAGTGGAAGGAACGAAAGACATTCCTGTCGGTAGTCAAACTGAAGGCGCTTCGACGGAAAATGATACCGGCGCGGAACGTGAAGTTGCCTCGTCAGCCGAGAATGAAGGCGCTGAGGACGGTGTGGACGCTGAAGGAGAGGGTACCGATGGCAAACGTCACACTTGCCCCCATTGTCGAAAACGATTCAACCGACCAAGCAGTCTGAAGATTCACCTGAATACTCACACGGGAGCGAAGCGTGCGTACAATTTCTCCTTCACTCTTAGTGATTTGTAACAAGCGAACTGACTGGTATTTTTTGTTTTTGTTTTGTTCCCTTTACTACATGACATTACGAATGGATCAAACCGTTCCTTTCAAAAAATACCGAATAACGTGTTATATCATTGCACCTTGATTACCCGTTCGCTAATTCCCCATGCGGACACCCATCATCGACGGGCTTTGTGGATGTTTCACGTGCTACGACAATTCACCGTATGTCGTACATCACTCGCCTGTTTGCACTATCTTTGCGTCGTTATGCACGGCACTTGTGGTCTCATTAATCTGGTGGGCAACTAACGCTTGCCTTTTCCTATTGGATGCGCCGACATCGCAACTCGATTTGCTCCCATCAATCATTCTATACTTGGCGTACTCACGCTTGTGGCGACCGTGGGTCCATATGTATCGCTGAAATACGCCTTTCCGGTGGCGCACACGATTCACGGTGACCGATATGTCCGCGCACGTCGATTAACCGTCTGGCGGACTTTTTGCCTTGCTTGGGTTAATCTGTTGCATTGGACTGGACTACAATCAATCTATGCCCTTTAAACGATTTGAATTATGGCAACATGGTTTCACCTTTGCGTAACATGGATGATCGAATGTATCGCCTTCGCTGATCCCGACGTTTTACTTACTTTCGTGTCGAACGTTTGGTGCCACCCCCGCACACTCGGTCAACTCTAATCTACGCTGTCTCACCCGCGACTGACGCTTTGTCGCATGTCAAAAATAACTGACCAATTGGATATACGCACTATTGCGCCTTTCTGCCTTTTGCTGGTTCCATGATGCAAAATGGGTCTATCAATGTTTTCGTTATGGGTCCGATTTACGGTATATATTTATTTCAACACCTTTGCGGGTTTCGATTCTATTTATTTGACGGCATCGCGGATTCGGGCACACCTTTTTATCACTTTTGCACTGATTTCTCTTTGCACCCTCCCCTTCGCGGTTTCGGTGTTTCTTGGGTACGTCCCCGAACGTGTATCGTCCTTTTGCCATTTTCCATGCGACTTCGGCGGGTCTGCGACGGTGACAATTTCCTCCTTTGACGATCGGACCTTACGAATTTCTTCACGATGAGGCGATTAGCTTTTGAGTGCCCTTATCCAGGCTGCGGAAGGCAGTTTAATGTGTCGAGTAATATGCGGAGACATTATCGGAATCATTCGTCGCCTGCTGGGTTAGGACCTGGTGCAGGGCCTGGTATGGGGATGGGTATACCAATAGGAATGGGAGTAGGGATAGGGATGCACGAACCGTTTGGCGCAAGGCCTCCTCCACCAGGTGTGCTTGGGTTACATATGGGATCCGCGGGTTATCCAGGACCGCAACACGCACATAGGCAAGCGCAGGTACAGATGGAGAGGGAGTTAGAGAGGGAGAGAATTGAGAGAGAGAGGATGGCGTTGCAGGGACATCCGAGGGATGGGTACCCTGTTGGACCTCCGAGTTCGTACCGTCCGCCACCACAAGCGCACCCGCACGCTCACCCACATGCAAATGGTGTACCGCTTGCTCCGCCACCGCAAGGCGCAAGGGTACCTGGACCGCCTGGGATGCACCATGGTGGACCGTATGGAGGGTATCCACCTGGGTTTGGGCCACGAGAAGCCGAGTTGGAGAGAAGAGAAAGGATTGTAAGGATGGAAAGGGAGAATTGGGAGCTCCGTGAGAGAGAACGCGAACGGGAGCGTATTGGGAGACTGGAGAGAAGAGAGCAGGAGAGATTCCCTCCCGGATACCCTTCACACCCGTCCCAAGCGTATCAAGGCCGAGCGTATGGACAGTATTCTCCTCCGTTACGGGAGCGACAGCTTGAATATCGTATGGGAGGTGAACCGGGAAGACCTGGCCCGCCTTACGGACCTCCACCTCCGCAAGGCTATCATGGTTCGCATCCACCGCCTCTACACCATGCGCAATCGCAAGCTCCGCACCACCTTCAGTCGCAGCAACGTGTAGCTGGACCAGGATCTGCACCGGGAAATGCACCCGGACTTCGTCCAGCACATTCATTCTCACATCCTCACACGTCCTCGCATGCACATCCTTATACACGCTCCTCTCCTTCGCATTCACATTCTCGGTCGCGTGAACGATATAGTTCGGGAGGAGGATCGCCCGTGATGAGTCCTGCCATGTCTACTGCGTCTTCACTTCCGGTACGTGGGTGGAGAGGACACGCGCATACACATAGTGCACCCGCGTTTGCGGGTCCTTCCCCCCAGCAAGTTGAGCTTCCTCCGCTCCCACCTCTACCATCATCGATACGTTCGCCTTATGATAGAGATGCCTCACTTCCTATGGGTCATGGTCACGGACGAAGTCAGTCGTACTCTTCATCGAGTTCGCATCCAGGACCGATGGTATTCGGACATGCTCGTCCTGTGGACCCCTTGCGTGAGGATGAAAGGAATGAGAGAAGATACAGACGCGATTCGACGATTGCAAGAACAGGACATGAGAGTGAGCTCGAGGGGCGGGTGGACTCTTCTGCGTCCGATTTTGAAGCGGAGGAAAAGCGAATGAGTAGCGATGTTGACATGGGTGATGCTGCTATTTCGCGGAGCCTTCCTCCTGTATCGGCGATGGTACGGGAGGGTGCTGAAGGTGTAGGACGTCCTGGTGTCTCTGCGGGAATGGTGCGGAGCCCACCTATTCACTCGATGTCACCTTCACTGCCTCAACGCACTCCACCTATGCATGCGATGGAATTACGTCGGCGAACGAGTCACCCACAAACTGTTCTTGCTTCCGGATCTCCATCAGTACGAGAGCGCGGATACTCTCAGTCTCACTACTCGCACTCAAGGACTGGGTCGAGTTCATCCTCGGGACATGGACATGGCTATGCTTCACATCCATACGCACGCGCACGTCATGCGCACAGTCGTTCCCGTGAGGCGGCGGTTATAGCAGCTGAGATGGTTTCACCGCGTCTTACTCATAGTACAAGTGCTTCACTCTCGTCGTCGACTTCTCCGCGTGCTGGTGTACCGCCCCCAGTAAGTAACGCGTCTGTAGCATCAAAAGCGTCTTCAGCATCAGCATCAGCGTCTGTATCTCCCCGTGTGTCTGCAGTATCATCTCCTCGGCCCGTGCCGCTGCAGAGTGCAGCAGAAGCGGTTGTTCGGAATCCGATTCGGGAGGGAGGGGAATTGGACTCGGACACTGATGAGAGGAGAAAGATTTCACCTGCTGTATCGAGATTCCCGGTGTATACGTTCCCACCACCCGCTCCGCCGCCGGGAGTTGCGCTCGGTGCGGGTTCGTCACCCGTGGGTGGTGCGAGTACTCCCATGGAGGTGGAGAATTAGGGAGTTGAGAAATGGTATGCATTCTTAGTCGTTACTATTTCGATTATAATTTTTCAATTCTGACTGGGATTCCTTTTTCGTAGCTCTGGTTTCTGGTCGTTGAACGACCCTTACATGCTTTTTGACCTACTATCAATTGGTCCGTTTGGTGGAGGTTGACCAAACCATTCATCTTTTGTGCCTATCAGTTGAAGTTTTTCTGCAATTTTTTTTATTCCTTGCTGCGTGTCTGGACAGGTCTCGCGCATGGCAGTTCTCTTCAGTATGCAACCACGTTTCTTTCATGCCTTATCTCTGTCGGCATCGCATGCCGTTCATCTTGCCCGGTGTTTTATAAATGTCTTTGCTTTTGATTCGACTTGGCTTCTGTCCGCTGCTCGCGGATGCTCGCGAATGATCATCTCGAAGGATCCTATAGTAACGATGGTAAGTCACTTCTCTATCCCCTTCTTATTTCCATATCTTCTCGCTAATATTGCTTTTGCTCGCCTTTGGCTACACAGCATCCTGACTTGCTGACAATCGTACATACACATCTACTCGCGTCTTCCCCTGTTTCTTTCTGTTTTCTCTTCGCTGTGTCCTTGATCTATTTCTTTTCATTGCTTGATTGATTGACTCCTTTCTTATACATGCCAATAATGCCTACGATAGGCTGGGCTAATTCATTGTGCCTATAGAGTTTTTTCGCTGCTGATCCATGTCGCCTATCCACACTCACTTTCTTTCTTATCTCTTGCCACATGCAAAGTACTAGTAGCTGTATTCGGCCAGATTTCGTAGTACTGGTTAGTGTAAGTACTCGATGCCGAACAAACTACAGAACGTAAAATAACGTTGTATCATTAGTCGACCTTTTTTTTACCTCCGCTCTCGTATTCATATTATTTCATTTTACTACCTCTTGCACTCTTTTTATTTGGGCTCATTGTTGGTCTACAGTCGATCCTTTGGTTCCTATTCACCTACGTACCTACCTATCTCCTTTTTTGTTTATTTATACACTTTTTCCTGTTTGTTCGAAGTAGGCTTGTTGTAATCGACTTTTTATACAATACAGCATAACTTGAAACAGACTTATTTCGTATTGGATAAACCATGGTGAAAGTAGTTTACGATTAAAACAATGCTAAGGCCATTACAAGAAAATGTAAAAGTAAGAATACTATACTGGTAGGTTACGATGTCAACAATTCGGTTCATGCATGACGACGAGAGAGAGAGACAGAGATCATCGAGTAGGTTCTAGGGACTTGCGTTTTGACACTTCACTCCGTTGCCGGACGCCATGCAACTTGCACTACACGTCTTTCCTTCCCTTCGCCTCCTGAAGAGACAACTCTTCTTCTCGCACACACGGCTATAGAACATCGATTTTCAGACCGCGACGACGATCAGCGCTGATCAGAAGTGGGACGTAGAGTGTGAATGAGCGGGCGAGAGGGTGCGCAATCGATTATCGGGGTCCCATGGGAGAACGGCGACGGGAGCAATAGGGAGATGTAGAGTGGCAAGTTCTTAGGACTTCGGGAACTTGGGAAGGGATCGGCGGGTCGGATCTGTGAGTGAGTGTATATGCGCATTGTGCATATATGCTCACTTAGGGGTGGGGTACCTGTGACGGAATAGGCACTACCATTTGCTGGAAGTGTATCCCTGTTTCAGCAAGATTCCCTCGTCGGTTTCCAACGGCAACGTTTGTGTTGTTTTGTCTCTGACCGAATTCCGTTTTAGGATTCGAAGAAGCCCGGGCATTTGACGTTGATGGTCCGAACCTCCTTATCTGGTCTGCGTTCCTCTGTATATCAGCCTCTCCCTCTCCTTCTGCATCGGCGTCAGGATCGAGTTCACCATCTGCATCCGCTTCACCATCTGCGTCTGCCTCATTGTTTTGTCCGGAGCCAGAAAGCGTAGGATCAATAGGAAACATCTCAGAATGGCTCAAGCCCGTGCCCATAGCTATGGCTGTACTCATAATAGGCATACCCAGACCCATTGGCATCCCTGACATCCCATTTTGCATGCCCATGTGCGGCATAGCGAACATCTGGTTTGGGCTGGTTTGATGACCGGGTCCAGGCCCTGAATTGAAAGTGCCGTACGGTGAGAATTGAGAAAAGAGATTTCTTTCAACCTGGTTTGGGTCATCCGGATCATATTCGGAGCCTTCGTTCGTATACGGAGGAGTCATAAGCGCACCAGCGACGTATTGCTGCTGTTGCTTAGTTTCCTCGCTCGCCTTGGAATTTCGCATATCCGAACTCGGCGGATAGAGCTGAGCGGTCGAATGGTTCGGAGAATCTCCTCTGAACATAACATTGCTGTCATAACCGAGGGTCATCTGCGGTGGCTGGTGTTGCGAAAAGGATGGGTTACGCTGCGGTGGTCGACCACGACCTCGCGACGCTTGCTGTTGGGACGGTTGGTCAGAAATAGGATAGACGTTGTTCGGTGGAAGAGGTGGAGGAGGAGGGCGCTTTGCGTGGTTTCGGAAGTGTCTTCGCATGTTGGAGGATACATTGAACGTACGGCCGCATCCTTGGAAAGGACAGGCGTATGCTAGAAGGGAAGTGTATCAGCGCCGGATAAAACAATTCGGTAGCACAACGACAGTACAGCTGGAAATAATTTATATGGAACAAGATGGACGTGGATGCCGAGGAGAAAAACGCAAAAAGCCGCCGATGATGTAAATCGGATTTTCACGACGATCATCCAGCGAGGATCCCATAATCCAATAAGCATAACTAGAGACCAGCACTCACGTTTTGCACCAGTATGCGTGTTAAGGTGTATCTTCAGTGAACTTGGTCGGTTGAATCGCTTTCCGCACCGAGGGCACGGATGTCGCCGTTTTTCGCCGTCATCTGGACCATCCGCGTCTTCATCACCTTCACCCTCACCTGCGACTGCATTTTGCTGAGGTGGTTGGACAATACCTGGCAGGTGCGAGTGGACATCCATGGATGCTGAAAATGAGTCCATCTGCCCGCTAGCGTCCATAGAAAGGAAATAGGGGTCCTGTGGCTGCGGGTGGCTACGCGCGTTCGAGGCGTCATACGATCGTTTTGCACCGCGTTTGCCACCTCGTCCTCTTGTTTGCTTGGTAGGAATTTGTTGCTCATACACGTCATTCGAAGTGCCGTTGTTGAATGGGAGCTGCGTATCCTGTTGTGAAGTTCCTATGTTCTGCCGTTGCTGTTGAGCGTCCTGGAACTGTGCCGCAGAGCTAGACATCTGCGGCAGAATTGCACCTGATTGTGGAGACTCCAGAGCATGTTCTGCCTGCTCGAAAAAATGTTCTGAAACGGCAGAGGTAATTTTAGTTATGGAAGGTTTGGCAATGATTTTGGACAGTAATGGCAGCGGTATGTAACGCACCAGGAAAAATGTCTTTGAGAGCGGGAAGAGTTGAGCCATCCATCGCCAACGCTTCCATTATTGGCCCTTTGCGGGTTTCTACCTTTTCAACTGTACCAGCGTTTTTGTAATTTTGTGTGCACCAAGCAGCCGTGCAAGAGGTGGATTGGTGGGGAGATGGTGGTGGTGGAATGTGAAGAGAGGAGGCGGAGTGAGAGCGAGCGAGCGAGCGAGTGAGTGAGACTGACGAAAAGGTGTGTTGCTGCTCTTAGAGAACGGGAGATCGACACCTCCTTATTTGGACCAATCCCCGGTATTATACAGTACGGTAGACACTTCTTATCTTCACCCAGTCACTGAGGTCTCTGCATTTCTTCCTTGCGCGAGGCAAAGCGGCAAAGAGTGATAGACATGGACAGGTAAATCCTTGACGATCCACCGTCGGAGAAAATCAGTCGTGATTCGTGATTCCATTGGTCATTCCCCCCTGATCCTTCCTTTCTTTCCGCCGCATTTCTTCCGAACTGTTTTCCCACATCACCTCCTGTTGCGACATTATTGCAGAGATGCTCGGCAGACGATTGTGTTGAATCGGATTACTCACTCGACTGTCGGGGTCATCGTTGATCCCCCCAAAAAAACAGTGCGACTAAATACTGTCTGCCTTTGTCTGTCTGAATGTCATTTCTTGCGCAAAATTAATGTCATTGATCGGCTTCAACTCAATTCATCATTAACGTAAAGGTGCATTGCAGCTTCTCTAAGGCCCAACAACACTCTGGCATCAAGAAGATTATATTATACGATTGCACTGGATCGGATTACCCGACCGTTAGAACCGTCGTTAGCCCAACAAATAGTGAGGTTAATACTGTCATTCCACACACACAATTACACTGACAGGCTACTTTCATCAACTTCGACTCTATCAATTATTAATGTAACAATGCATAATACTCTAGCATCAAGAAGATTATACTAAGTTCAGGGCAGAGTGCCCCCAACACTATTTGCTCCATAGTTGTATGTGCCGTGCCACATACATATCTTTGGAAATTACTTCTAACAAATAGTTCTTTTTCTTTTCCAGGTAGGCTTTCCATCCCTGATTCGCCTCAGGTTCCTTCTTCACTCCTATTTCCCTTACCTGACAGCTTTAATTGCTGCCTTGACTTGTTCGATCTCCGCACTCCTATCACATAGTGTATACCTCTTGCATTTATGGCTATTAGCACCTTGCAGGAGTGCCAGAAGAAGGCGAAGTCGCGCTTTCTTGAAGCTACTTCCTCTACCAGTAGGTAAGGGCCTCTTTTCTGTAGAGCATCCACATTTCCACTACACTGATACCATATTAGCCTCAATAACAAGTGGTGCACGGGACCCTGTTTTGGCTATTGTGCTGCTTCTCCTTGATGGGTCAGAATCTTCTCCTGCAGTTCATGCCACAAATTCGGAGTACTCGTTTGTTAGCTTAAAAAATTAAGGACTGGCTTGATAAAATACAAACCAATGCAAGCTATGTATTGCCTGCCACGAAATACGGATGTCACCATGTCTTCCTTCTGAAGATGGATACCATAGAAATTAAGCTGCTTCATTGCTTCTTTACAAAGTACAGTTGGATATTAGTTGCATTATCCGAAATGATTGTAGGAAAGAGTACAACCAGACTCGAGTTTTCTGTAGAGGGGATCATCACTCCATCTTTTTGTCCTGGGGTCATCTTCTGGAACGGATGACCTTCCAAACATATCATCTGCTACAGTTTCTTCAAAAGTTCCGAAACTTTGGCTGCTCAATTGTGTGCCATTACTCATTACTGTAGAACTAAGTCAGTACAACAAGGATGAGACTCCTAGATTATGTGTAAGTGGCAAACAGACTTTATGTCTTTCTTCTCAATATATGTGCAATTTTGCTTATTGATGTGACAGATATATTACTACAAAACATTTCCCCAATGTGTACTAGGTAGTTTGCAAGGTTTACTTACCTAATACTAGTAGGTTAGAATTCAAAATGTACTGACACAAGTTTCCATGAGTACTGTTACAGGTATTGAGTTCTGATTTGAAGAACTGTATTATCTGTTGTAGTATTGTAGAGATGCTCACTACAGCACATATTGAACCCTGATTAACATTATACTGGCAAGGGCACCCATCTTAACTTTATTCAATTACAAATAAATCAGCTTGGATAATGACATTTTAGTATTGAAAGGAAGTATTCTCTATAGTATGGTATAGTCACTAACAGATGATCCTTGTATACATTACCTTTCCTTTCAGATCACCCAGCTTTATATCTTGATTACTTGTTACATTTATTTGTATGTACTGTAACAATACTATATGAAATGATTGTCAAAAACAATAAAACATTAACTTATGACATACAGAATAACAAGATACAATATTAATTACATTTACTACTATTCTATTCTGGACTGTATTACTACCCTTTACTTCTACTTACATACATAAACATACATTGAAATTGTTTACACTAAAGGAAGTGTCTGATGAAGAGGTTTGTGTATCACACAGGAACACTGTACTATGAATATTTACTCATTCTAGGATTTGTTCCCTTGTATACCTAATGTTTATGAGTAGGATCAGTCTAAGAACTGTTTACAGTAGTATACAGTAGTGTTGTAATAACAAGTACAGTAATGGTTATTTAACCAAGCTATACAAATGTAACTATTATAGTAAGCATGTAGTAAGTGAGGAATTACAAGCAGAAGCTTAGCAGATTTGGCTATATATACTGTATAGGAACAAAGCAACAAAAATGATAAGAAAAGTAAAGATATGACTAAGAAATGAGAATGATACTATAGATATACCTACTCTAACAAGCTACATTAGTCAAAGAATAGCTAAGCCTGTCAGCTTGTACTAAACAAGTAACAGAAAGTAGTATTCATAGTAACTATGAATCATATGAATTCTATTTTATGAAAGTCAGGAACAAGGAAAGACATGGAGCAGAAAAGAAACACAAACACAAGAGGGGACTAAATAAGAGCTAGTAATGAGTAGACTAGGAGCTCTGTAACAATTGGATCTGAAAGAATAGTAGAGACAATTACTAATTAGACTCAATTGTAAAGTGTGTATATATGTGTAAAGTACACTATAGAACCTCTGTCTACTGTTTAAAGGGTTAGGAGGAGACAAATGAGTAGTATACTAAATATGTACAGTAGTAAGTCCTAAGAGTATAATTGAAAAGACTGCCTGGAAACTGAATCAGAATGTGATTGAAATACCTGAGAGTATTGTTACTTACAAGAACAGTATATAAAACTGTACAGATTGTAGAATATAAAGCTATTGTGTTAAGTGAGTAGTTTGTTAGTAGTAATAGTAAAGTATGAATTACTGTACAACTTTACTTATATATGTAATCAATCTAAGGTTTTGTACAGTAAACCTACTAAGCTTTAAACATGTTAGTAAGGTAGTACAGAGTGTACTCATTTACATCTGTACTATATAAATGTAAACATACTAAATAGTGTTAAAGGAGTTGTATACTTTTTGTATCTAGACTCTGAGTCCTACAGCCCATTTTTAGTTAGCTCCAATTAGCTACATGTAGTTTCTCTCACATTTTACTAAGTCAAAATAAAGTACTTTTCCTAAGAAAATAAATATTCCTCTCTCTCAATCTTAACTAAAACCTAACTTAACATTTAAGCCTAACAGTCTAAACTTATTCTAAACCTAATTAGAGTAGTAGAGCCCTCTCAAACCCTCCTCCTAACTTCTCACTCTGTTTATGACAAGGGCCACAGTATACTAGAATTATATAAGTAGTTAGTCAGAGTTATCCTTAATTAGACTGTAAGATTTAGAGTCTGAATGTAAAAAGTTAAGAGTTTGTTAAAGAGTATTTTACATATTATATATAAGGTCTGTCACACTTCTTATAATGAGCCTTACAATTCATACAAGTAACAGATTAATTTCTAAGAAAACATGGATCTAGTATAATAATAGACTTTAACAGAAAAAGACAATTATAATACTTACATACACTATAGTTGCTCAAAATGGTTATACAGTACAAACATATTAATAGCTTGTTCTTAACATGTACTCATGTTTCCCTGTACCCTACACTACCTTAACATCCTGTATACTATTTGTTACAAGTTAGTAAGCTTCTAATACTTCTAATAGGAGGATTATTTAAGTACAGTTTCAGACCCAGTCTTATTTACTGTTTTGAGTCACTAACAATGATTCTTTTCTCCTGTTTCTACCCCTCTACAATTACATAACATACTCTCTCTTCCTTTTACTAAACATGGAACCAATTATAGGTACTGTCAACATATGACTTGTGTACTTGTATAACCTTATCTATCTAAATAACACAAAGCTATCAGTACTAGTAAGTAGAAACTGAAATAATAATACAAATACTATCTTAAGGACTAAACACTTAGTATAATTCCTAATGACAGACACAGGTCCATCTCTAATAGGTATTAAAGTAGTCTTACAGTATGCCTCAGATCTGTTATTTGTCTCTTACTCTATATTACTTTAAAAAGAATTCTCCCTTAATAAGTGTGTAGTAGTTATTACTAGGGGTCATTACAGTCTAGGACTCAAGATGGCTAAAGCCCTTACTGAAGCAGGTACAACTGTACATTACTCTGGAACTAGTACAACTCCTAGTAAGGTATAGAAGGTTATAGTAACATATGTTTCTAAACTCAGGCTTGGAGATAATGTGTGCCTAGAATATAGTAGTGTTAACATCTCTAATCAGTCAGCAATTAGGGGTATCATTAACAAGATTGTAAAAAAGGAAGGATGACTCAACATTTGTATTACAAATGTAGGAATTAATAAAGATATTCCCTGCCTTAATATTCTGCACAATAAATTTGAGAAGATTATAGCTGTGAATACAAACAGTATGTTTTATACTATACAAGCAGTAGTAAGGCAAATGGTCCAACTTGGAATTCTAGGGAGCATCATTCTCACAACTTCAATTACTAAGAGTAGTACAATTCCAAATTGCCAAGTAGTTCTGTACAGTACTAGCAAAGGTGCAGGTACACAGATAGCAAAATCCCTAGTGTGTAAGCTTACACAATACAGAATCAGAGTGAATTCTCTATCTCCAGGAGTCATACCTACTGAGTGAGTAGGTCCATTTTCTATTTCCTTATATTAACCCTATGTTTGTTGTACCACCAGAATAAATCAGCACTACTTTGATACAAACCCCCAACTTCTTAAGAAAATAAAATCTTGTATTCCACTAGGGCAAGTTGGAAAACCGGCCAAGCTAAGGGGAGCTGTTGTATGGCTGGCCTCTGATACATTGTCATTTTGCAATGGAAGCAAGTAAGTGATTTTACTTGTACTGCTTGTGTATCCCTTCTGATACAATGCATGTTTAGTATAATAATTGATGGCAGACAGCATGCTTGGTGAAATGCTCATACATACTGTAATGGATAACAAAGTGAAGTTGTGCAGGATAGTTCATGAACTTTGATGACTCCCTTGTGTGGAGATAGAAATAATTCCTGGCTGGAAAGAGGCCGAGTTGAATATCACTGTAATACATTGTGAGAACTATTATTGTTGTCTTGATTATCCTCTAGCAGTTAGTCAAACAGTATTTGCTGCTGCTTTGTATAGTTGGCCACATAGCTCACACCCGAAACAACTATTCAGTTGCTTCAATAGTAGTACCTTTGTGTACCAAATCTTCTTGCAGTGGAGTTTGATGACTTCATGTCACATGGAACCCGTAGGGTGATTGATCCTCTGTTCTACCTTAAGAAAATAACCTCTACACTATATACATGTTCGGCTCACTCTCGATCGCTTGTATATTATACATTTTCGGATGACGTTTTGTGCTCCGACTCAATAGGTGTTATTTGTCCTATGCTCCAGATAACGTACGTACTGAACTGAAAGTGAAAGTTTACAGAGAAGTTGGCATTGTGAACATTTTCCGCGGGTATCCCCGCCCAAGTACCATTAACCACAATATAAAATGGCCATTGTAATAGGCAAACCTGGCATCAATCACCATCCCCAAGTACGATATCCCGCCTATGCTAGTACTGCAATATGGCCAACTCTATCCAGAACGGCTGTACCACTTCTACTGTTCTTGTCGGGGTTGAAGCAGCATTACGCGCAGTAGTAGACCCAACCATCTCTCTGACACCTACGTTGCTGCAGAAAGAGTTCACTATTGAGGGAAGAGTCGCTGTCGTCTCCGGTGGTCGTCGAGGACTCGGGCTAGAGATGGCTGAAGCACTTGCTGAAGCCGGTGCGACTGTATATTGTCTGGCTGCCAGTGAAGGACCATCTGAGGAATGGTTGGCGACCCAAGCATACGTTTCTAGACTCGGTCTCGTGAAGAGTGCTCGCCTTGAGTACGCCAGCGTGGACGTCTCCGACCAGACTGCCGTTTGGGAAGTCATAGAAGGGATTACCCGAAAAGAAGGATGACTCGATATCTGTGTTGCAGATGCTGGTATTGTGGACTCCGTACCGTGCCTTGATATGACTGCAGAACAATTCGGAAAGGTCATGGGCGTTAATGTGAATGGCATGTTCTACACTGCACAAGGGGCCGCGAGGCAGATGAAGAGACTTGAGACACCGGGGAGTATAGTACTTGTGACGTCTGCAACTGGAAGTGTAGCCTTCCGAGGAGCTCCACTTGCTGCATATAGTACGACAAAGGCTGCCGGTATCCAGATGGCATGCTCCCTGGCATGCGAACTCGGGCCTGACAGAATTAGAGTGAACTCTCTGTCCCTGGGATATTTCCCAACAGAGTGAGTAGACCAGTATTTGGACATGATGTACTTACCTGACGATTCTACTATTAGCCTCCATTCTGGAATTGAGCATGGGGAAGAAGTCGACAAGTACTTGAAAACGCAAAATCCACTTGTACGAGCTGCAAAACCTGCAGAGTTGAGAGGGGTGATTACATGGCTGGCATTGGACACGTCGTCATTCTGCACAGGAAGCGAGTAAGTAATTTGCCATTGCAATGGTTTACAGCCGTCTAATTATTCAAAAAATACCAGTATAATCGTTGATGGCGGCCATCGCGCATGGTGATTGGTGCTAAGGTGTAATAAGTATTTTCTTGTTGTACCGATAAGCAATCCAATAAATAGTTGTGAAGAAGTAGGTAAATCGTTGGTGTTGTAAGTGAAACTACCTCAAATAACAATACAGGCTTTTATCGCGTGGAGCAGTAAAACACCAATGTCGACAGCTGACTGAGTGAATGCAAACCCAGAAATGAGGACTATAGCCTCACCAACTTTGATTTGAGAAAGTGAGAAAAGACTGGTAGCACTTATGGTGACCAGACCGGAGAAAAGGTACTTGTCATCATATAAAAGGCATACAACTAACAGTGGTGATGTCACTAGGACATAGGGAGGTGCGTGTACTGTAAGATAGTAGCAGAACGTGAAAGCATCTTCCAGAGGTGCACGACGCAGGAAATAGACATTTCCCAGGGACGGAGGTACTTGCTTGACGTGGTGGCGAAGATCATGAACTGCTTCAACTGAGCACGAGGAACAGAATTTAAAAGATCACTGCAGTCTTTCTGAGGAGAAGAATAAAGGTACACTGTTGGCGCCAGATATAAGGCGGTTTTTTTTTCAAGTTACGATCTTCGAAAGCGTGAGTCGGGATATCCTTCAGACTGCAAATGGAAGGATGAGCATGCTGATGTAATACGACTTATGTAACTAAAAGTTGCCTAAAGTAACCGATCCACGCCTGGTTGTTTCTTTACCGCAACCATTCGCTTTTTGCGTCGTCGAGGGGGCCAGGACAGAGCACACTTGCACTCAACATTTCTGGATACGGGCGAGTAGTGCGAGTACAGAGTACACCTTGACTGATAATGACGACTCGGCAGCGTGGCACGAAGCGATCCATGGCTGCGAGTACGGGGATCGGCACTGATCAGCCCCTCCATAAGCAAGACTTCGTATTCGCCCCAAACGTCGACCTCAACTCTCCTGCATCCATCTCGGCCCCGCCAGTTGCAGTTGCAAATCCTGCAGCTGCAGATGCTGCTGACAACAATGGCTATATTGCAAATGGCATGGACCCCTCTGACGCTGCAGTCGTCGGCATGGCCAAGGCCAGTGGAGGAGGTGGAACAACCAGCACGGGAAAGAAAAACGACAGACGACACCGGTGCCATATGTGTGGAAAGATGTTCAATAGGCCAAGTAGCCTCAAAATCCATCTGACGACGCATACAGGCGAGCGACGTGAGTGAACCCCCTATTTTCATTTCCTATGGGCTGGGCTGAGTCGTTGGCGCACATCACAGCGTTCCCATGCCCTTATCCTGGATGCGGCCGTGCCTTCAACGTCTCGAGTAACATGCGGAGGCATTTCCGAACACACAATACGAACGGAGAGGCCAGTACTCCTTTGTCTGCACCAGCGACAGCTTTCGCGTCCCAACAAGAGCAACAACACCCGCAGCAGCAGGCTCAAGCCGCCTGGAATGTCAACATGTACAACCCGGGAGCTGGTATGGTACAGGGGCAGATGCAGGCTCCCCGTCAAAGAGTGCGCCGTTCAAAAGACGCTAATGCGAGCCAATACGAGAATGGCAATGACGCGGAAGGTAGTGAGGATGCGGACGCTGATGGCGAGCAGGATCAGGGCCAACCTCAGCAGAATCTTCACGGATACATGCCTTTTGGTGCCCCGCCGGGAATGTACGGTGGATTTCCTCCTGCTCCAATCATGAACATCCCTGGATTACCGGGTATGCCTGACATGCCTGGTATGCCGGATATGCATTCCATGCAGGGAGCGCCAATGGGTATGCAGATGATGCCCATCGAAATGGCTTTCCCCGTCGATCCGGCTCTCACTGGTCAGAATGCTGATGCGGAGGCTGACGCGGATGCTGATGGTGACGGTGACGCGGATGCGGATGCTGATGCTGAAGAGGATGCCGATGGCGAAAACGACGGGGAGGGAGACGGGGATGGAGAAGGGGAGGAGCCGAACCGCCCTCAGCTCACTCACTCCACGTCAAACACGCGTGCATCTACTCACTCAACGTCTGCTTCGAAGACACGGTCGTCTGCACGTATGCAGGCGAAAGCAAAGGCTACTGGCTCGCCTTCGAGTAACGCAAGGGGAAGAGGTCGACCGCCCAAGACGACAAACCAAGCATCCTCTCCGAGCACCTCTCAGCAACAACAGCAATTGCAATTCCGCCAGATTCTTGTTCCCGTGTCTGTTCCTTTGTCAAACGATCCATCCCAGGCTTCACGCATCGCTCAGCAATATCAGCATCAATACGCGCAATATGCGAAATACGCACAATACGCGCAGTATTATATGCAGCATCAGCAAGCACAAGCGGGTCAACTTGGTGCACAACAGGGTGCACAAACGCAAGCGTCCATGCCACCTCAAACGCCAATGTCAACAGACACGTCGGTTCAAAGGCCGGGACCTGCGACTTCTGCAGAACGAACCTCTCCGAATAGTACAGGCCAAATTAGTCAAGGTACTACAGGACCTGGTGATTCGGCGGGGCGTAACGTTTTCGTACATTGGGGTCAGAGAGCTGACGCTGTAACGAAGGAAGCTAAGGGTGCTTCGGATGGTGCGACCGTACCACCTAGTTCTGGAATGAGTCTTGCCACGGATATGACTGAGCAAATAAACACAAACGAAGGCCTGGGGGGTTCTGCAGCCGTTGAGGGACTAGCAGGCGACGGCAAAGAAAGTGATGCAGGTCTGGGTGGTAAACCAGGTGCTAACGCAATCGAGGGTGTACAAGGACGTCGGAACGGGTTGCGAGGCGTAGCAGGAGCCTCACCTATTGGAGATGCAGGTGGGGGCGTCGACGAACAGGGTGATGAAGCTGCCGAAGAGCCAGGAAAAACGAGCCTGGCTTCCAGCCCAAGGAAGCGGAGGAAAGTAGCGAGAGGACGCGGTCGCGGAAGACGTTGAAGATTACTTAATTGGAACAGTACAAGTGGTATACTTATAAAATGCAGATACAGATTCTAATATGTCTTAAGATGTAATTCTGGACTTTGTTCTTTTCTGGCTTAGGAGTCTACTGAAAGGTTTTCATAAAACTAGAGTGAACGTGTGTTTGTTTGTTTGCTTGTCTGTTTGTTTATACTTTGCTGTTATTTAATGTACTATTTGATAGGTAATTAATAATTACAGCTGTTTGCAAAAATATTGACTGTAGTATAGTTTATATGATTTTTTTTTACAAAGTTGCAAAATACAGAAAAAGTACTATAACTCACTCAAATCTTGATAGAATTACTTTAAATAAGTTGCTAAATTCATGTTTCTAATAGTAGAATATATTTATCAAATTAGTTTTTAATTATCTCTTTTTCTTGTCTTGTAAAAACTGAAATACATAGATTTTAGCTGTTTTTCCTTATATAATTTTCCTAGTCTCAAATCTAAACATATAGGCTTAGAAAACTGTTTATTCTAGTTAGATACATTAATAATTAATTTACATACTAAATTTACTATAAATAGATTGCTTATTCTGTTTTATTGAGAGGAGTCTAAAATGTATAAAACTAACTATTTTACTCTAGTTTCTCTTACAGTTAATAATTTTTTTTTTAGTCTTAAACTGTATTCTTAAATTAAATATAAATGTATTAGAGTAGTTTATAATAAGTTTTATGTAAATATGTTTAAAATTAAGTTTAAAACAAATAGAGAGATTTTACTATAAGTACTCTACTTACTTTATTTGTTTTAAGCTTAATTTTAAACATATTTATATAAAACTTATTATAAACTACTCTAATACATTTATATTTAATTTAAGAATACAGTTTAAGACTAAAAAAAATTTATTAACTATAAAGGAAACTAGAGTAAAATAGTTAGTTTTATACATTTTAGACTTTTCTTACTATTATTTTTATAAATATTATTATACATACAATTTGTAATTTTTGTTATACTAAATATACTCAAATACAAAATCTATTATAATTTAACTAATACTTAACCAAATTACATAATCTAAGTTGTAAAAATTATACTTTTAAAGTATCTTTTATATTCTAGAAAAAATAAAGTAAAATAAGTAAAAATTAAGTAAAATATAATATAATATATAAGTTTTCTTTATATTTTATATATATAAGTTTTCCTAACTCTAAAACTAATTATATAATACTATAAACTAGTCTAAATAAAGAATATAACTTTATTATTAATTTATATATTGAATTTTAATTAAGATACAAAATATATATATAAGTATAATATATATTTAAGTTTACTAAAATTAAGTATTTTCCTCTAACCTTTTTATACTTAAGAAAGGTTCTTCTAAATATTATTTATATTTGTAAATTTATTATAAATAAAATATATTAAATATAAGTACTTTTATAAATTATAATAAAGTTATATAAGTTAGAAAAGTATTATTAAAGTAATATATAGAATAATAACTTTTTACTTTATTTAAACTAGAAATTTATATTAAGTTTATTAAAACTATTTAAAACTAGTTTAATTTATTTAGAATAAATTTATAAACATAAATAATATTTAGAAGAACTTTTTCTAAGTATAAAAAGGTTAGAGGAAAATACTTAATTTTAACAAACTTAAATATATATTATACTTATATATTTATTTTATATTCTAATTAGGATTTAATATGTAAACTAATAATAAAGTTATATTCTTTATTTAGACTAGTTTATAGTATTATATAATTAGTTTTAGAGTTAGAAAAACTTATATATATAAAATATAAGAAAAACTTATATATTATATTATATTTTACTTAAATTTTACTTATTTTACTTTATTTTTTTTAGAATATAAAAAATACTTTAAAAGTATATTTTTTATAACTTAAATTATATAATTTAGTTAAGTATTAGTTAAGTTATAATAGATTTTATATTTAAGTATATTTAATATAATAAAAATTATAAATTATATATATAATAATATTTATAAAAATAATAGTAAGTATTTTAAACATATTATTAAGAATAATAAAGTTTAAATATATTTAAAAAAAGTAAAACTTATTAATAAATAGTTAGAACTAAAAAATTTACTATTTTTTTTATAAGTATTATTATACTTAATAATTTTTTATTTTTTATTATAAAAGTAAACAAAAAATAATTATTATTTCTTACTTAATTTTATATAAAATTTAATAATTATTTAATATAAATTTATGTTTTTTAAATATACTTTAAATAAACACTTTAATTATTAATTTGAGTAAGATTTAATTAAGTTATAAAAAAAATATATTGTTTTTTATATTTTCTTAGGCTTGGGTTAGGCTTGGGTTAGGGTTAGGGTTAGGCTTAGGGTTTAGGGTTAGGCTTGGGTTAGGGTTTAGGCTTG